AGGGTTCGAATCCTGATCTTACCCCGTTGAATTTATAAATTCAGAACACAGTTATTAGAAATGATCGAATACAGTCATTAAAAAGTCATATTGGCTAAGTTTTTGCAGCGGTACAGAAACCCGCAACTGTGTACTAAGTGTACACTTGATAGCAACTAAAGTACCTAGATAAAAAAAAATAAAGCGACTAGACTGCCTTAAACGTTTTGATTCGTATAGAGTTATTAATACACTATTTAGACCGAATTGCCCTTAAGATGCCGAACTACAATTAAGATGCTGACAAAATCCTTATCCTCGACTGAGAGAAAGTGCACTTAGACAGGTAATCCAGTCTAATACACAAGTAACCGTTCAGTGGAACTATAACTTTTTAAGCGTCAATGTAATCTAGAATACTGTTAAGCGTCTAGATGACTCAGTTCACTATGAATGACCTAGTCCATGATAGAACGTGGTTTCCCCATGTTGAGGCCTGCTTGGGACGCCCCTTCGTTGCTGCCATATTGTAGACTGATGACGTTTCGTCCCTCTCTCAGTTGCTCCTCCGTAAACTCGCGTTCTTGTTTTTCGGCCATTTTTGGTCCGAGTATCATCCCCTTGTAGTCATCTCTCGTTTGAGCCTGTAACAAAAACGTAGTCATGATTTGTAGCTTTGAAATTATTCAAATTGGAAACTATATCATTGATTGTCTGTAACAGCTCTAGATTGAATACTGTCCTCCACGTAATCTGCATACTAGTATATACATATTACACAAGCTTATGTTGGCTAAGCGAGTTGTTTTAAGTGGTTTAAAGTCGAGACACCGGTAATTAGCACTCTTTGCTCGACAAAGGAAACATACGTTTTCGATAGCTCGCAAAATAAGTTTTCAATTGATGTTTGTGTTCAAAACTTACTTAGTTTGTATAATTCATACCAAACTGTCCTGAGATATTGGGACAGTCCTGTCAAAACAAGCTAAAATTTTGAAAACCATGATCAGATAAAATCTCGTGCACATTTCACGTGCCCGTTAACGCCAATTAATCAAATATAGTTAAAGATTACATTTTTTTTACACCTGACAAGAGCATGATTTTCGTAACATCATCATTAATTATTTTCTCCACAAATCTGGGGCAGCAAATTTATTTTGAATTGACAAGTCTTTTATCTCGATACGTATTTTTACGTATCAAATGCACTGTTTATAGATAGTTATTTAGAATGATATTCATCGAAAAAAAAAAATGTTTAAAAATATTTTATTACCATAAGGATTCATACAGCACAGGGATTGGCCACACTTTACGTTAACATTATGGACGCCCTTTCCCTTATGTAAAAGAAACATTGGCTAGGTATTTAATGAAACAAGCATTCGACGCACTCATGATTTCAGACAAACTGTCAGACAGACAGACAGACAGACTGACGGACTCATTAATAAAATACTATCGTATTCTGATGAAAAAAGAGAGCACAGAGCACAGAACGGGGGCGGAGGTCGGATGACACTGATCAAATTGAAATCCAATTCTTTTATATATAGATATGTATACATATAATCGGATAAGAAAACCATTACCATAGTTATGCCTTGAAAATTATTTAAATATTCGCCGTAAGTCACTTACCACTCGCGCCAAGGCGTGTATACATAATGTGACTTGGCAAATGTTCTTTTTCTCCCAGAGATCAACAGTTTGGAAAACCTCCTCGGCTGGAACTCCGTACTTCTTCGCCGCGTCTTGGAATCGTCCGAGGTTCTGCATCAGAGCGAAACCGCCTCCCTTACGATCAATTTTCTTGATACATCCGGGCATTAGATTGTTCATCATACTGCATAAGATACAACGAGATATGTAGCGGGTACATTATTTGCTTATATGGCCATGCAAACACATACTAGAAAAGACTTGGGTTTTTACGGGGGGGGGGGGCACAAG